AGACGGACCAACTTCTCTGACCTAATGCAGTTAATATCTTGGAGAAGCAATGGTGCATGCTGTAAACACCTAACAAATACATACATTGCCTCACTTTGTGATTTTATTTATGGCATATGCAGCTGTGAGCATCTGCTATGGATAATGCATGCTAGAATCTTCTAGTGGGTGCATAGCCAGAAATATCCATGGATCTGGAATAAAAAGGAACTTTTCTGATTAGTTTCTTTCTTTAAATGTAGAAATTGGCATCAGGATATATTTGTCATTTAATTGATAACAGAATAGGACACTCAGCACTGATCTCTTTAAAACAATGAGAAGAAAACATAGTTAATTTCTTACACCTACTTGCAAAGCTAACACACATTCTCTTTGTTAGAAAGGTTGCAGGTTTCATTAGGTTATTGAGCTGTGACATACAACAGTTTAAGCTACTCTGCTTCCCTTTTAGGTACTACCATTACTTCTAATCCTACATCTTTCATGTAAAATGAAGAAAACATAAAGCACATTCCTGTGAATGCTTTGGTTAAATACGAAACAAAAACAAGGTAGGCACAACATGGCATCTAAGTGATAAGAAAACTGTAACACAGTAGATCTCATACTGAGGAGTGGAGTTCTGTAGGAATTTTAAGTGTATACCATTTTAAACCAAACTGCCGACAGATGTTTGCTACAATACTTGTTAGAGGGCTTCGTTATTTTTATAACCTTTTAAATTCCTCTGATTTATAGAAAATGGTCATTTAAAGTCCATAAAAGTTAATCCTGACCATGGAATTATTTGCCTAAAACGAAATTTCCTCCCTTTGCTGAGGGCTTTGCCCACATGGGGAACCGTTAAAGGGCAGCTGTGCGGGGCTACCTGCTGCCTGAAGGCACCAAGTCCCCATACTGCTCACACAAGGTCTGCAGGGGCCCCTCCCTCAGTTTCTGAGGGTCTCAAACAAAGTCTTTACACAAAAGTAAAGCATATTCTTCCTTGGGTGCTTCCTGCAGTCACGCCAAACCCAAAAAGTCTTCCGTGCATGTAGAGTGTGCAATTGTCAAATATCAACGATTTTATCTCAAACCCCATTTCCTCCATCACCTCTGATAACACCGTTCCTCTAAGATTTAGCTTCAGTCCCAAATTTTGCCCCTCATGTACCAGACAGTTCATAAGCTGGCTTAAAAAAAAAACCCCAAAACTCACGAGAAATGTTTTTATAATGGAAAAGAGATTATAGATTATGTTTTTTCCCCTTTATCTCACAACAATATCCAAGGAAATTTTGTTCTCACTGCCAGCTCACTCACAATGACCACTTCCAGCACAAATTATGGTAGTCACTAGACAGTATTTTAATTGCACAGACCTATCTCTTCAGTTAACCATCATGACTAAATTTCATGCTAGGCTGGAGCATGGTAAATATTTGCTGAGAGTGTGTTGTTTGCTTTTCAGTCATGATGATTAATGCAAGTTAATTGGCAATCAACTCAAATTACAGCAGGACAATGCTGGAGACTGGATGTAGGGATTGTGTCAAGACAGATTTTTTCCAAATAGGTAGGATTTATGGCAGCCAAATCTTGTTTCAGATTCACAGGTTTGAGCAGTTAAACTACTCTGCTCCACTGTGAAGCCTCTCTAGACTGTGATTTTTGTATATAATTTTTATATCAAAATTTAACTCAGTCTAGCACACGTGATTTGCAAACATACTCTGCAGCACATGGCTTCATAACTTTGAAGTCATGCTATCTGGATCTACCTAAGGTGTTTCAGGTCTTCTTAGATACTATCATTTCAAGAAATCCAGTTTTTGTGAACTCAGCAGATGTACAAACCTTTGTACAGAAATGGTGAGAGCAGGTATCTCCCCCCAATGCAATGTGCGGCTTTCCTCCTGAGCACCTGTTGCTTGTGCAATGTCTCTTCCCATCTTTTTAACGTGCGAGTCCTGCCTCAGGCACTAATCACTGCTATGCCTCTACTCTGGTTAGAGGAATTCCTTCCTTGAAAGGCAATGAGTCTTGTGGCTCATGCAGCAATCAGTCCCCTTTCCCACAGCAAACTTTCTTCTTGTCTTTGTCCTCAGGCATTGTTTTGACTCTAGAAAATGGGATTCCTGTTCCTTTCCTATAAATCAGGTCTCTGGCTCACAAGTTGACCTGCTACAACAGTGTGGCTGGAATGGAAATTTGGGAGTGGAGCTTTTTGGCCTAGTTACCAGTTGTTGTTTACTAGAATAGTAAGAACATAATGTTTTAATATCCCAATCCATTATGACCTGGTTTAGATATAACCAAACATCAAAGCTAACCAATGAGAAACAGACAGTACAGTGTTGACTCACTCACTGTACTATTCTATAGATGTGTGGAGACATATAATTATTTTTCTGAACCAAAGTTTTATTTGAAAACAAAAATGTTCACAATCTGACTTTATGGCTTGTTTTCATATTTTGGCATGGTATATTGTATTGGAAAAAAAATGTCTTTAATTAAAAGCAGCCTTTTGAACATTACCCCAGACTTCAATTTTCATCTCCTGTTTTACTGCTTCTCTCCATGTCCCCTCTCCCTCCCACATATATTCCATGTGTTTAACCCACCCTTACAAACTTTCATTGCTTCCTTCCCTATTGTTTTGCGAGTCCTCCTCTGAGGTCTCCGTGCCTACACAATGCCCTCTGAAGACTGTCCGTGCGGAGTGTAGCCCCTGCATGCTGTTTGGGATCTCTTCTTTTTCTAGCAGAGCTCCCCTTTGGGGGGCAGGGGGGGAAGGAAATGGCATTATTAAAGTAACAAGCTGCCAGTCAAGGCAGTTTCCCTCGTTTTGTGCCTTTTTGGGGGGTTTTAAAAGATCTCGCCCATTCAGAGAAACGGCCTGAAAACAATCATTCCTTTTTTGCAAGGAGGCAGTTCACGAGGACAGATGCGTTGCTGTACTCTAACAAAATATTCAACTTGAGACATATTGGGTGAGGAAATCTTGGCTATACTTAGGCTTGAGAAAATGTATGTAGATATCTGTTTGTCATCTGCGTGTATCTAGGAAAGTGAGTTCTAGTGAAGCTAAAGCTGCCAGCTGATCAGGAATTTCATAATGATCTTTCTACCCAGCTCACGAATGCTTCGCTGGTGTTACCAGGGGCTAAAGAAAGATGGTCTCTCACATGCTGCCAAGTTAGCAGAGCACAGAATCACAGAAGGGCTGAGGCTGATCTGAGACCAGACAGCCTGATCTTGAGATGATCTAGTCCACCCCCCTGCTCAAGCAGGGTCACCTAGAGCCCCTTGCCCAGGACTGTGTTGAGTTGGGTTTTGAGTATCTTCACAGATGGAGGCTCCACAGCCTCTTTGGGCAACCTGTGCCAGTGCTCAGTCACCCACACAGTAAAAAGGTGTTTTCTCAGGTTCAGACAGAGTTTTCTGTATTGTGCCCATTGCCTGCTGTCCTGCCACTGGGCACCACCGAGCAGAGCCTGGCTTCATCTTCTTTACACCCCGCTATTTATACACATCAATTAGATCCTCCCTCAGCCTTCTCCAGGCTGAATGATCCCAGATTTCTCAGCCTCTCCCTGTATGCCAGACGCTCCAGTCCCTTGATCATCTTTGTGGCCTTTCACTGGTCTCACTCCAGTAAGTCCACGTCTTCCTTGTACTAGGGAGCCAGGATATTACAGGAGAAAAAGGACAGGCTTCTGGCTACGGACATTGACTGCCATCTTGTACACATAAATTAACTACCATTTATCAGCCCAAAGTTCTCATAAAATTTTGGCTTTAATCTCTCTTTATTTCACTATTTTAGCTAAAAAGCAGATGTAACAATACTGTCCACTATGAGTGGGTTGCTGGATGAAGACACATTTTTGCCAGTGCCCATGCTAAGGTTTCGGGTGCTTTTCTGAGAGAGTAGGTACTGCGATCCCTCATATGCTTCAGGGTAAATGAGAAGCCAGACTTTAGGGAAAAGGTTCGTTTCCACTTGCTTTGCATACCCACAGCTGTGCCACTGACAGTAGTGGAAGTCTCCAGTGACTTGCTGAGATGCATACATCTCAGATGTACATGGTGCGTACAGCTACGCTGCAGACGCATGATGTCCCTTTGCATCAAATATGAAGACATATTGAACAGGTGACTCAACAGAGAGGCCAGGGCCCCATGGAAGAAAGTACCAAAGCCTACAATCTGTGCTGCAATGCAGGTGCATACCAGGAGTAGGACGAAGGTAGTGGAAAGTATTTTTTAAATCTTGCCAACACCTTTTGGGGATCGCCAAAACAAATCATTTATGTTGCGGGTAATAATGAGTGACATGAAGCCAACTCTGTAGGAAAGCTCTCAGCTCCACCCTTGGAATAATTTAATGAACTGAGGTTGAACAAGGCAGTGTCAGAGCTGTAAGCAAGATATGTGTCCTGGCAGCACGGCACTCCAGTAACGTGGCTATTCACTGCCCAGCACTGTTTCCCCAAGGCAATGTGCCGTGCTGTGCAGATCAACCAAGAGCAAGCTCGGATATTCTCACGCCACAGTTGCATCATGCATGTGAGTATGTGCCTTAAGCTGCACTTGTGGTGCAGGCAGGTCATCCAGGCTCACCAGTCAGTTCCAGGAGGATTCTGCCCAAAAAACAGCTTTAAGAACTACTTACTGTTCATACATTTTTTGTGGTCTGCCAGATAAAAGGTGTGGGTTGTAAAAAATGTCTTCTCTGTATAATATTCATTCACTGTATGCATGCCATTTTCCTTGCTGTTATGCTGCATCCTGATTACTGTATGGTCACTTGCAATCTCTGAAATAAGAGGAAATATCTGAAAATTGTGCTTACGTAAAGAAGTACTCAAGGAAATAATAGAAACAAATCCGGAGAATGGGATAATGAAAAGTGTGGTATTTTCTGCTGTAGTTTATATGCTAAATAGTTTGCTTCCATTAATGCAATTATAATACATATCGATTTTTTATTTATTTTGTCATAGGCTGAGTACTTCTACGAGTTCCTGTCTTTGCGCTCTTTGGATAAAGGCATAATGGCAGATCCAACTATAAATATCCCTCTGCTTGGAACAGTTCCTCATAAAGCATCAGGTTGGTGCTGTTGATATTATAAATTTTGTTCCTGTAAAATATATTCCACAGCCAGTAAAGTCTAAATATCTTAGTATGAATTGCAGTTCTGAAGTTTATTGCTAAAGAAATGTTTGCCACAGTGCTTGACATTGAACAGTTTGTGAGTGCCTTGCCTGACTACAGCAGCATATTTTGTCTGAGCCAAGTCACATGAAGTTTTTATGTGTAGATAAATCAGCTGAAACTTGTGCAAAATTGTTGCATAAAATCAAGTGCATGAATATTATTACTTAAGTTGTGCAGCTTTTGGAAAACAAAATCTTTGATCACTGTAAGGAATAGCTATCAAATTATTCTGTTTCTCAGAGGTTGCAGTTTGTGGACGTTTTACTTTCAGTTGGGGTCAGCTGTTGTCACCAGACATTTGGCTCAAAGACACAAGTTCTAGTTTAGGGTATTATCATTTACCACTTTTCCCTTACTTGAGCATTCTCAGTCCTTCACTGGAGCTTATAGCTCCACAGCAGAGGCTGAACCCAAGCCAGCGTGAGTGCTCCAGAAGCACCGTGGTGCACAGTGAGCCGGGTGGGATAAAACAGCTTTCCATGAGATGTTACCGAATCCGCTTTGCTCTGAAGTGGATGAGTAACAGTCGACATGATCTGTTCCAGGACTAATATGTGGTAGTCTCTGGCAGAAAGGCAGAAATGTACATCTGGGTGACAGTAGTGTCTTAGTGATCATGGTTTCATGATCAGTCTTAGCCAACCTAAAACCATGTGGGAAAAATGGGAAAGAAGTGAGAAAAGGAACGAGAGGGTGGGGCTGTGTGTGGATCCCAGTATAGCACTGATACACACGTTTACATCTTTGACTGGTCTTTCTTTCTCTTCTCTTTTTTTAATGTATAAATTCTGAAAGTTTGTGTTTGGTATCTTCCATTTTCAGCTTGTAGTAGAATGGTGTTGAAGTAATGTTGCAGCACAGCTTTTTGCCGTGGGACCTGGAATTTAACATTAATGATTGGTCTCTCAATTCACTGTGGATTGAATGAGTGGTATTGAAAATGGATTTGGATGAAGAGTGCTATAATATTTGCACCATAATTGCTGCAATTTAATAGATTGCAAGCCGAATAAACTGGCAAGTAAAGACATTTACTCTAAATGTAACCAAAAAGGTCACAACAGCAAAGTTCATGTTAAGCATTCAGATTATTTCCACCTCCATATAAAGCAGGAGAGATATATGGGAAGCTCTGTACTCAGCATCCTCTAATATAAGCTACTTTCTCCTTTAATTTTTAACTATCTAGAAAGGCTAGACTAAAGTGACCCGCTTCTGATTGTGTTTAGGAAAATACATAATCTACAAGTGAGGGGAGATGAGATCTCACAGTTCCAGCAGAAAAGTCTGTTAACTGTCATCATAGGAGGTCTGATTAAAGCCAAAAAGGACTTACCCTGTTTGCAGCACTGGTACCTCAGTTCCAGGACTAATATGGGCATGTCCATGGTGTTTCCTTATGTGGGGCATGTGCAGTGCACCACTGCATTAAGTATATATAAGCTGTATTTAAGTTCTGTTTGGCAGTATAGTGAGTCCGGTGTTTAACAGCGATTGATAATCGGTACACATACAGTATTCGAAGCATGTACCCTGTTTAACAGTAAGCCACTAGCATGATGGTGGGTTTTTACGCTGCCTGCTAGCTGGCCAAAATGAACTAAGTAGCCTTAAATAAATACATGCTATAAAAATAATGAATGGTGGCTATTTTGTAGTTATTTCTGTAATCTATATGTTTGCAAAACTGTCCTGACAAATCTAGTCTAGTTTGGCTGAATCTATTGCATTACCAAATAATTCTTCTACACATATGCATATCAGAAGAAATTCAGTCACAAGCTTGTATTTAATACCAAATCAAGAGTAGTAGGTTATTTCTTGAAAAAGCGTTTTAGCCTGAAAGATTGCACTAAAGACAATTAAGAGGTATTAATTAATTAAAATTAATTAAAACAATGAAAAGAGGAAAGACAGCTGTATTAGACATGAGAGTGGGTAACAAGAATGAGGACTAACAGTCAAATATCTTACTCAGAGGTAGTTGAACCCACTGGTCTTGTCAAAATCAGTGGACTTTTGAAACTTCTTTGAGAATATTTGCCTACCACCAATAAAGCATAAGGATTCCTTTAGTGCTTTAAAGCCTGCCTAGCCTGCATTTTGTCTTCTGGCCAATGGTGGATATAAGGAGACCTGTGGAAGAGCAAAGGGAGGGCAAGCATATGTGATACTTCTGTTTACCCTCTCAGCTCTGACTAGCTTCAGCTCAGAGGATTTCCTGAGTCTTAAGTGATTTGTCTTTTTTATAACCCCACATGCCTTACAAATCTCTCTTTCCAGTACTTATCCAGGCTCTTCTGGAGTCCATATAATCTTCTGGTATCTCCAATGGCTTTGGCAAGGACTTCACTGCCTCCCATTGCATGAAGATCCCCCTCCTGTTGTTTCGAGTCTGGCTGCAACAGCTTCATCTGATGGGCACTAGTCCTTGTACTGGTAGAGACAGTCAGTCCCTACTGTTGATCCTATCCATGCCACTCATGATTTTATAGATGTCTATTGTGTTCCCTCTAATTCTTCTCTTTGCCACGCTGAAGAGTCACAGCCTACTCAGTTGCTCCTCATTGGATGCAGCCTTCTTGTCCTTCTCTCAACTTTCTCTAATTCAGTAGATCCTTAATGAGATGAAGTATCAAATTCTCCTACATTTAAATTAGATTGAAATCACTTAGGTTCCTTAGACTCATTTGAAAATCGCATCCCCAAATCCCAGGATTGCTACCTGATTCAGCGCTCACAACACAGGTATTGTTGCACCTAGCCGCATGGTAAGATGTTAATATGTGGTGAGAGGGCTGGAGAAGATGCCTTTCAGTGAGAGCTTAAAGAGAAAGATAAGGCTACTCAGCGTGTCCAAAAGATGTTCGAGTGGAGTGTGGGTACCTGTCCAATGAGAAGAGGCTGGCTGCTCATTTCACGGGGGAAAGCCTGTGAAGATCCGGTGGTTCAAACTGAGGTCAGCAAGTTCAAAACAAAGTCAGGCGTTTTTGGTTAGTGGCAGTGATTAAAGCCCTGACTACTACACTTGAGGAAGGTCAAACCCAGCTATTGGTCTGTGCCCAGAAGAAATGTAGTGTCCTGTGGGGCTGGCCCCCTAGGTTACCTGAGCCGGCCCCTCCTGTCCCAGCCTGCACCAGCCAGCGCAGTGCCGTGCCAGTGCCACCGCTGCAAGCTGACGTGCCTGGGCTGCCGATCCAGCACTGCATCGTGTGGGTCCCACAGGCACCCCAACCCAGTGGTCAGGCTCAGCACACCTCCTCTCCCTGCCCACTGTTGGTGTTGACACATTAAAACGTAGGTGCTGTGCAAACAACGGTGCTGAAACTCTCTCCAGGCTCGGTGGGAGAAACCGGTGCCTTCTCTGGGTGCGGCAGCATCTGTGCGCACGCTGCCATGCTGGTAGAGAGGGACAGTGGGCTGCAGGGCTGTGCATGGACTCCCACTCTTCTCCAGCCCCTGCATGCCTGCTTCCACTGGGGTTGGTAATTCAGAGACGTCCCTTAAGCAATCCCACTCCTGAGACTGTAGCTGGCTTTTGGTGGTGGCTTTTGCATATTAACCAAGTGGCTACAGCAATTGCCTGCAAATCCGAAGGGCTGGACAGATACACGGGAGTTACTCTCAACCTGCATCTACTGGAGACAATTTAGGGAACCTTGGTTTCCTGAACAGAAGGAAAAGGCATGAGCTCCCAGTCAGAAGGGATTAAGCCTGCATCCTCCACATCCCAGGGGAGCATTCTAATTACCAGCTAAAATTAGATTGGATATAAAACACTAGGTTTCCTTAGGTTCCTTTTCAAATTAGTTAAATTTGCCTCACACCTGCTAGAGCCAGCTGCTCTGCAGCCTTGGGTGCAAGCGCTTCAGAGGATGCAGGAATATGAATGTGCAGGAGAGGCAATTCTGTGGCCTGGTGGTGGGATGATGGCTGGCAGAGAGAAGTCCTGAGCTGTGATTCCCTCTCCTTGTTTTTAGCCAGTGATGGGCAAATGTAAACTGCATCCTGAATTTGGGAAGCAGGGACCAGACCCCAGGTTTGCCCTGCCACAGCACCGCTCGGCACTTTGGTAGCCCACGGGAGCTCATGGCTGTCGTTCTGGATGCAAGGGACTTTCGCGCTGTGCTTTGTTTTGACTGTGGTGCTGTTGCTGCGTGCTTAGCATTATTCAAACAGGCATAAAAAAGCAGGGATTCAGGCAGAGTTTAGGGACTTTATTTTGACTCTGAACCACCACAGAGCTCAGCCAGGATCCAGGTGCTTATTGCTCACAGGAGGGTCCTTTACTGCATTTCTGGGTGCCTAGGAGTTTGGACATATGGGAAGTCCAAAAATACGGATGCTTCCAGGGTGGGGAGTGCTGGAATAAGGGATTTCTGACCTGGCCCCTCGGACTTTAGCCCTAAGAGATGCATGCCTGGTCTTTGCATTTAAACACACAGCCAAATCTCAGGGGAGATTAGGGCTTTGCTACCAATTCAGTGAAGTCTAGATATGACTATAGTGCCATCATTAAACTTCCTCCCCATAACAATTTGCTCAGCTAAGTCACATATATCCCAATACAAGCACTGATTTACTGCACTTGCTCTGTAAGACAGTTACTACAGTTTAAGAAGTTCACTACATTTAAACTTTATTTAATCCACTGTAAGAGTTTCCTTCTTACCACATGGTTACCTGCTTTTTGTCATGGTCTTTTAGGAGATCGGTGTAAAAGTGCTTCAACAATGAAATTGCTCTATAATGAAAACTGCAACAGACCTTTCAGTCTGTATGACTTACCAGAAGCAGAATGTGTTTCAGCAATAAATTATTCTGTATTATACCAAGGCAACAAATAACAAAAATGGCCCAATTATGACTTGCAAAATTTTTTATAACAAGCAATTTAAAACAAGCCAAATGTAGGGCTGTTAGCTCAATATTTGGTTCTGAAATCTCAGGCCAGCTTCAGAAGAAAGGAATAAACAATTTCTATTAGCTGGATCTAATTTTTAAAGCAGCTGGGAAGAGTCAGTTCTGAAGAAAAGAGATAAAATCGTTTCATCTGAAGATTATTTAAGATTACTTGTGACAATCACAGAGGAACATTCCACAGCTCTGAGGTATCGGGCTTGCTTCCTCATTAAAACACTCCAGATTTACTGGCCTTAATTATTTACTTAAACTCTTTGTAGTTCAAAAGTGTTTGAATACTTTTCCTGGAAAGGCAATCTCCAAATATCGCTACACTTAACAAGTTCTGTCAGAGTAATGTGTCTCTGTCTTCTTTTTAAATATTTGCACCCATGAGCTCATTTATCAAGTATACCATCTTGCCAGTAGTTTATGGAGTAAGTTTTGATTAAATCAGTATTTTATTTAAGTATTAATTGCAATATCCAAAACAGCAAAACATATATAAAGTAACTTTTTTTCCAAAATGTGTAAGGTGTTTTTGCAGAAGTTGTGTGAGATCCTGCAAAATTTAGACTCGGAAGTGATCAACTCAGCTTAGAAAATTAAATATAGGCTTCCAGCTTATTTTGGTGTATTCTTAGATACCTCCTCATGAGTAATTGCCTTGTCTGCAAGCAAAAACATGTTTGTTTTAAGATCTCTGTCTGTGCTGCAGACTGTTGGGGTTATGTCAGTAAATGAGCACAGGCTCATCTCCTGTGCTGCCGTACTTCCAGTCCTGGAGCCACCCATGAATAAGGTGATCTGTGTATCTCTGTGTTACAGGTTTTCATCAATGGCATTACTCTAAAGCTTAAATATAAATATTATCTATATTTTTTAGTATTTTGATGTATGCTTGTATATGTATATGGATATTTGTGCATGTAAATGTAAATATTATCATTCTTATTCTCCTTTAAGTCGTTCAGGTTGGATTTCCTTGCCTTGGAAAACAAGATGGCGTCGCTGCATTTGAAGTGAATGTGGTCATAATGAATTCAGAAGGCAATATTATTCTCCAGACCCCTCAGAACGCCATCTTCTTTAAAACCTGTCAGCAAGGTAATGCTAAAGAGGACATGCCAAAATACCATTAGACCTGGTCACCTAACTTTTTTATGTGTCATTCAGGAGAATGGATAGAGAAGATGGAAATAAAGTGCTCGTACAACATGTAGCAATGGTGGTGAATGCCGGGCTGTTCTGGCTCTGTGGATTTGCTGTTCATTTACCACAAGTTTACTAACCCTTTTCTTACTCTTGACTATGTCTCCCTTAGCATACGGGTTGGAGGCATTTCTCCTCCTGTTCACAGCTCATCGCGTTGAGGATGTTGATAGAAATGTATCATGTGAGAAGCACCTGTTAGCAAATGATCTGAGGTACTTGGGGGAGAGCTAGTCCTGTGAAAACCAGCTGAAGCTAACATTTCTAGAAGTGGTACACAATATGGTGAACTGAACTTCTGGGATCTGTAGTGGGGACACTGACTTCAATAAATACTGTTTGGTGCCTTAGTTCAACAGTTCCTTAAATCCCAACTTGCACGTACAAACTGAATGCAAAAATCCTAAATCAGAACATTTTTGCAAAATTTGGCTTTACCTTCTCTGCAGCTCAGATGGCAACCTCTTGGTTTTGGATACAGGTAAGATAGTGGAAGCTGGTTCTTAATACTTGCAGTCATCAAGCAGTGAACACACACAGGATGCGCTGGTAGAAGAAGGGCATCATGAAGTTATTGCAGTGTTTACTTGGAAAGGAGGGAAACTCTTTAATCAACCAATCTATGAACCATAAAGACTATGTAATAAGACTTTGTGGATTAATTTGATACACTACAAACAACTATAATTATCACTTTAAACTGAGGCTGTGGAAATTGAAAAATCAGTATCTAAGATAAGGCAGTTATCCCACGTCATGTGCAATTGTATCAAATTAACCCATGACAGGGCTGATGTACAAAGAGTGAGATTTTTATTCTTCTCCTATTAAATCTTCATTCCCAGTCCCACACTTTTCTTTTCTGCGCTCTTTTCTCTGAGCTAATTGGCTGTAGTGTGGCTTCAAAGAGCGAGCAGCAGGAGCAGGAGTTGTTCATTCTTTGAAACCTCGCTACACCTAAATAGCAAAGCTGCTTGTCTCCTTTGAAGCCTTGCTGCTGCCAATTAGCCCAGGGAAAGTGGAGGAGGGGGAGAAGAAGTGGGCAGAGAAACAGGAAGGGAAATGGGGGCTTAATGGAAGTAAAATCAATCAGATCTCTGGTAGGAAGTTGGGTGTCTGATGTAAATACAACACAAAACATTTGCTATCTTTTTATTTCCAGTTCAGTTCAAAGATACTGAACTTAATAAACTTTGGAAATAGTATTGGGATAATCTAATAGGGAAAGCAGAGTTACAGGTCTGTATTGTGGAAAAACGTGGCTTAACCAGAGAGGACTCCAAACTCAGTTTAGTAGTAGCATTCATCCAAGCTATCGTTTCTGTGCTATTTGTTGTTGTTGTTACTATTTTGATACAAGATGTAATGTTGTACTATTTTGATACAAGATGTAATATTTAAAATTTAGCAGTATTGCATCATATGGCCTCTCAGGAAAGCCGGGAGTGATTATTGTCCCAGTCCTTTGCTCCCAGAGCCAGCTGAGGGATGCAGGGACGATTTCCCAAATTCTAGAGGTGGGCAGAGGAGGAGTTTTCTCACCTCGTCTCTTCCAGTGCGTAGTGGGGTAACTCCCACTCCTGCCCTCTATCCTATGAGGTGGACACTGCAGTATTTTGGGACAGATGCTCAGAAGGATGAGAATGTCCTTACCAGTTGGTGTTAGAGTAGGGGTGAGTTTCCTTCCTCTGAAAGATGTTGTTTGTGGTGAGGAGCTCCGATTCCTCCTGCCGGGGCCCCGGTCGCTGTTTCCAGTCATTCTCAGCCATCCAGAAGGGCCCCCGCCAGAGGAAGTGAGGGGAGCAAGGGAGCAATTTTGTGGGATAGAGGAGAGGTTTTGTTGTGGCTAAGAGATGTCCACACAAAAAGTTACGGTTTACTATTTTTCTGTATGAAATGGTACGTATCTAAGCATGCATTTTCTGGAATGAACAGCAGCTCTGCGTTCGGGTACAGAGAGAGAAGCATTTCCAGAAAAAGTCCTGGAGTACAGTGTTGGAACACAATAAGACAAAAAAGCCTTTACCACTATTACTGCTGCCACACACAGCTTTACTTTTAAAGCAACACTTTTTCCTTCATGTAGCTATGGCCTTGGATGGAAGAGCATTTTAAAATGACACCTTTCCTCCTCTCTCTTTCCTGTTTGTTTGGCAGTTGTACACAGCATCCAACCACATGACTGGTACATCAGATTTTCTTTCCTTTCTCTTAGTCTCAGAGTTACCCTTCGCATCCCACTAAATAGAGAGCTATAACGTGGGTGCAGCAGAATACTGCTCATAGTTATAGCAGCCATCATTTCCTGTGGCTCTAATCAGCTATTAGATAAATTTACAAAAACAAAAGATTATTTGTGTATGAGTCTAACTAACAGATATGTCACCTGACTCAAATATTAGAAGAAGGGGGAATCATTCAAATTTGTTAAAGTCCACAGTTATGTTTTCCTCAGTATTAATAGGAGTTACAGTTTAAAGAATCTCTGTAGGCTGCGAAAATGTCTCGGGCAACCTGACCCTCCTGAATTTATAGACATCCTGCTACTCCGTACCACTTTAAAGGCTATAACTGCTTGAATTTGAACTCAGGTATTACTCAGTTGAGAATCAGTGTGAATCGATGGTGCATCTGTACAGCCTCTGGATGGTAGGTGTCAGCACTTCCTGATGAAATCAGGTGACAAGACAATGGAGAAGAAGTAAGGAGAAGAAGTAAGGATGCTGTTGGCAGGTGTTGTCAGTCACGACGTTTACAGCATATTTACACTAAAAAAAAAAAAAAAAAAAAAAAGATGTGATGCCAACATTGCAGCCAATTGCTGTCTAATAGATGACCTTCAAGTTTGGGTTGAGATGGTTGCAATAAGATTACTCTCTGAGTTTTGGTCTACCTCAGAGTTTTTTTAACCTTCTCACTCAGAGTGTCACACAGCATAGCATCAAGATGAGCAGGTCATGTCTGCTAAAGCTGCCTTGTGGCCCTGGTACCACTGATCACAAGTGATGTTTGCTTTTTCTAATGGGAGTAGGCAGCCTCTCCTGCCTGCCGCCTTCTCTGTGAGAGATCTAGGAAGGTATTTTTGAGCAATTGTTATTCGACCCAGCAGTCATGTTTTCATGGGGTTCCATAGGGTTCAGTTTGTTTTGCCTCTTGTTTGATGGACTCTGGTGTTTTGAGGCTGGGTTTATTTGGTGTATAATAAATATATAGAGGTATTTCTCATCCTTGCATAATGCAGCCAGTGCTGCCAAATGCTTTAACCAGTGTTTGATCAATAGCTGAGGTGTGAATGGGTTGGATGATGATATAGGACCACTGGGCAGGACTGCTTTCATCTTCCTTTCCGGCCTTCTTTTCTCTAGCCTTGAAGCTGACTCTTTCATTTGGATACAGACTTCATCACTTTGTCACCTCAGTACTAACAGATGTAGCAACTAATGCAGTGCAAGTTGCAGTGCAGTCTACTTTAGGCTGCAGAAATTGAAACTGGTCCTGCATACTGAGGGCAGGTCTAACCAGCGATGCAAGTCCTGCACTGCCTGCTTATTTCCACATGGAGGAGAAAGTGCTGGATTGAGCAGAGCATCCCCATTACTCATGCACTTACGGAAGAGCAGAGCAATGGAAATGCACAGTCTGTCAACAAGTGCATTGTATGTTTGTCTGAACACGTGATGAAACCTCTATTTGTAGACTAACAAAAAAGAAACTAATTTCTCTTGAGGAGGTCTTAGCTGAACTTCCACTTCTGCCAGCATTTGCCTGTCTGTCAGCAAATATTTTTACTGTTGTGTCAAAGGAATTTATTGATCCTACCGAAAGCTGGCTGACAGCTGAAGTATGTAATATCCAATTAAGATTGTCATTGTATTTTATGAAGCGGAGTGTCCAGGAGGGTGCAGAAACGGAGGGTTTTGCAACGAAAGACATGTCTGTGAATGTCCAGATGGATTTTACGGGCCTCACTGTGAGAAAGGTAATTTTAAAAAAAATTTTCTCAACTGTCATCTTTATACCATAATCTCAGCAAAACTGTAGCTACTGCACTGTAGCCTCTCCTAAAAGAATAGCCTATTCTGAAGATTTCATAGGTTTTGAGTCCACACATGTAAGAGAATTACTATCATCATCCATGGTCTAATGGAAACATTAATTGCTTACAAGAAAATGTTTTTTCTCTAAGAGATTGCTTTTAACACAAACTGACACAATAGTTAAGTGATCCTTAATCACAGGGAATCCATCTGGTAAAAAGATTAATTAAAATTATTCTGCTAATGACAACTAGCTGGGAAACAAAGCACAGGACTTCTGTTGTTCAGCATTTGTTTATTTGGAGATAATACCTAATTTGGAGATAAGATCTAATTTGGAGGCAGGCTGGCAACAAAGATGGGAAGATTAAGGAAAGAGTCTCCTTTTCCTTTCCATTAGTGACTAATAGCCCCAAATGACATTTCCAGGACTGGGGGACTAAGAAATTGAGTGACTTGGCGAGGAAACTAGCTCTTCTTCCTATCTTCCTTCACATCCCCCAGTGGCAGACCCTCCCCAGGGTGACTTGAGAGGGAGCAAACCGTCCCTGTGGGCATCCTATTCCAATGGCATCCTTCACTGAGCTCCCAGATGCTCTGGCTACATCCAAAATATTAAGTACAGAGGATGAGTTCTCTGGCCTGGAGGCCAACTGGGACAGTGCAGTTTGCATTAATATGTTTAGTAAACTCTCATACCCTCCAAAAAAATGCCTTCTGGGAGGAGCCCATGGCTGCTGTTCACCCTGGGGTCATGCCCGCAAGGGTTTGCTGGTTGGCCAGGGACAAAGCCATGCCAGGAATGGCACCAACAATTTCACGAGATAGATGATCCTGTGCCCCCACTTCACCCCTTGCCTAGGTGCTGTTTAACTCATTAGTATGGACCCAGCCTCGCTCCATGTACCAATTGTGGGCAACCACGAAATGAATCATTGCCACCTGACGTGCCTCCCTGGAAGAGCCTTGTGGGGTGGCTACAAGTGCATAGAAGGCTTGGGAGAGCACAGGGGCTCTGGAGAAGGTGCACAGGGAGCATGCAGGACAGTTTGGCCACCAAACCAGGCCACGCAACAGGCTCCCCTAACCTAAATTAGGTATCCATGCTTATGCTCAGGTACGCAGAGGGGGAAGGGAGGCTTCATTGTAAAGCCTGTCTGCGAACCCCACTGAATTGCTGACACCTATGACCACAGCCCCTAAAGAGACAGTCCTGTCTGCAGAGCTGAAGCACCAGCTGCAGCACCAGAATCCAGTTATAGGGCGCGGGAGGGGCTTCAAATATCCAGAGGGTGCAGGTGGGCACTTTGCTCTCCCCAGTTCGGAATTAAACCATACAAGAGGCAATTTCTGCTTACATATGGAACCAGATTTGAACAGAATTTAATCTTCACTTTTTTAGTAACTCTGTATACAAATTGCTAGATACAAACCAGAGACGGAATTGATTTAACCCACTTACAAAGATGCTTTACAAAGGTGAATTGTTACATTCAGTGGGTGGAAAAGTAGCTTAAGGAGACAATGTGCTGTGTATTCAAATAGACAGTTGCTATCACACCAGTGATGTATTTCTGTTCTTCCTGCTCCTCAGCACTGTGTGCTCCTCGCTGCATGAACGGTGGGCTCTGCATTACACCCGGCCTCTGCATCTGCCCCCCGGGGTTCTACGGCATCAACTGCGACAAAGGTAAATGCCGGCTAAAACCCCCTGGGCTCTGTATCCAGCAGCCTCTCTTTATTCCCCTGTGTTAGTTCCCCTCTAGGAGCAGATTTTGGAAAGTCAGGCGAGTGATGAAGTAGACATTTTAAAAGTTTTGTCATCTTCGAATAGATGCTCTAGCACAACCTGGGAGCTGTCAGAAGTGCTTTCACAGCTGAATGTGCAGGCATCCATATACACCAGCTCTGTGAATAGTAATTTAGGTAATTGCTTTAGTTGATCCACTGAAGGCTGTGGGACCTACCACAAGATTCACATATATTTCTGGCCTAGGAAAAAAAATTATCTCTATTTGAACTCTAGTTTCCAGGAGCAAAATTAGTTTTACTAATTATTTAGTGCATTAATTTGCTGCATCTGGATACATGAAAAAATAAGCAGGCTATTCATTTTTTGTTGCTGCATTGTGGCTCGGGAGGGATAAAAAGGAACAATCAGTTGTTCAGAACAGTAATTTGGAACAGTCCGAGCTACCACGTAGGAAAAAACAAGTAGTTGCCTGTGGAAATATAACTGACCAGCTCATGGCAGAGCAGATTACGGGACATCACGTTGCATTTATTGCTGCAGAACTATATGAAGTAAAGACTAAATGCAAAAGATCCCAGTGGACTTCCCAGCAAAATAATGGGAACCTTCTAGGCCTTTAAGTATGCTTGCACAAACTGTTGTTGTCAAGGTCCTTCTGACTTGTATCTAGTCCTTGATGAGACTTTTACTGCATTTAAAAAATGTTTCAAAAGTGTACTGTAATGAAATGCACCCAATGTCTTGAAGGATTAACGTGAACCCCAGCTGTTTGGTGAAAAGTCTCACACAGCGTAAGTAATTTAGCAGGTGAGAGACACAGCATTTGCCACCATGCGTGTCACCACACAGCAAAAACTTACAAAGGTTTCCTTCTAGTCAAGGCATTAATTAAAACCTGTAGTGAAGTATCCTCTTGTAGAGATAACTTCGAGTCCTAGGTTGTGGTCCTTTTATCAGACCCTGGCAGTTTCAATAACAGTAGTGACTTGATCCTTCAACGAGCTTTACATGTGAGGATTGATAAAGACGTAACACAGACTGCCCTTGGGGATCTCATTGCTGTATTGTTCACTTGTCTCTTCCTATATTGACTTGTGTGTGTGCCCGTGTAAAGCCTTATGTAGGAAACACCCCATGTCAGTCTTCCTTTGTAAACCAGATGAAAAGATGTTAATGCAACTTTTTTAAACCTACTCAATGTTTATTTATGATGAGCAGCAGAAAACATTAAGGCCAAGAGAGACTGAGCTCATATTAGTGACTTAGCTCATTCCTGTTTTATTTGTTTCAGCAAACTGTACAACAACCTGTTTCAATGGAGGAACATGTTTCTATCTGGGAAAATGCATTTGTCCTTCGGGCTATGAAGGAGACCAATGTGAAATTAGTGAGTAGCATCTCTGTGTGCTTGCTTTCACTTACATCAGCTTATCCTAGTGTCAGTGTCGAATGATGAAGTGCTACCTGCCTCTGCTGGGCTCACAACAAGGATCTCATGTGGCAGGTTGGGGCCCTTGGAGACTCAGATGCTGCATGCCTTCAAATGAGTTTCCTACTGATAAGTTTGACTCATTGCTAGACCATCTCATCCCCTACCTTGTTTTGTTTTTACTAATAACTGGGCTTGGTAACAACCCTCAAGCCGTGAGTATGCAAGCAATACTCCGTGGCAGACAGATGTGCTGCTGTGCCAAGCCTGTGTAGAGCAGCTATTTTCAAAAGTTACGGCAATTTGTACTTCTGCAGAGCAGATTAGGTTTGAGCCCACTCCTCTGAAAGGGCTACTATAAGCTGAGAATAGAAGGGTTTGGGATAAAGGGAGGACTGAACTGTAAGAGCTTAGAGCTTTCAGTTAACGTATTAAGTTGCATTCACATAGCAACTTGAAAATCCATTTTCAGAAGTTTAGCATCAAAGCAATTAAAAATATTTTAGCTCATATTTGATCTAAGTGTGCTGTGTAAAGCTGGGGGTGGAGATGCAGCCAGGCTGGAACGGACCTGGGAGGTCAGCTGTCAAGTATTTGATTTCACTAAAAGAAGAGTTTTCTCATAGCTCGGTTAAGTTGGATTAATTCTATAGTTCCCCACACTTGAATAGAGTATGAGCATTTCAGTTTTGAGAACGTACACCCAGGTTGTTCTTTCTGGGCTAAAGCTTCTAACAGGACACTGTGCCAGGAGCTTCCCCTGCTGTAAATAATCTCACTGATGTTCCTCAGTGCACGTTGGTGCACGTTCACAGGAGCACGGAGAGCAGCATTTGGCCTGGGAGAGCCTGTAAGAGCTTCTTTCTTAATATGCATCAGTAGAGACAGGCTCTTCTCACAGTTATGAAATTTGTATCTTCAAATAAGAAAGAACACAGATACCGTAAGACCTACATTTTGCACTGTATTTACATGTAGATAAACATTAGACCTATGTAAATGTTTCACCATATCTCTGTACGTTACAATGCATTTTGCAACTCCTTTTTACCTAATCAACATTGGAGCCAAACAGAAGCAGTAAAGCTTTATTGTTATTAAATTAATAAAGATTGCCCTTTGATATAAATTCAGATCAGGTGTCAGCAAGAACAACAGTGTGGGTTTCCAAAGAATTTACCTTTGTTTGTATCAAGTTCAAATTTAACACTCTGACAGAACCTCATTTCTTTCTTCAGTCCCCAAAAAATCAACTGCTGATACTTCTCAGATGATGAATAAGGTTTGGTTCAAAGTTTGAGAAGCATGTGTTTTGTGTCAGTGGTGTTTTTTGAGGAAAATTCTTAGAACTGATATTACAGCACGTGTGATTAAGGGTGCTCCACTTAATTGGTCTGTCCCAGGGGCTCTTAAGCTCATTATTGTCTACCGCTACTTGGGATAGGTACAGCTGACTGGCTTCTTGCAAAGGCTTACCTGTGCAACTCAAATTAAATTAATTAAAATACAGGCAGTAAACTCATTTCTGTACAAAAGAAAGAAAAAAAAAAATTCAGGATCAGAGTATGCCAAGAGCTAAACTGGGATCATGTTGATGAGAGCAAGGAAAACTATGCACTTGCCTTGGCTTTTGTAAAGCTGGGACAGCAATTGTTAGACTGTGATTGATGGCTGCTACCACCTCTGGGCACTGCACCAGTGCCAGCACAACAATGGAAGACTGCAAGAAATGCTAGACAAGGCTTAGAAACACCAGAGGAGAAACACACAGCTCCGTCTCTTTTCTTAGATCCAGGGCCAGCTACATTCAGTCATGGGGGTGCTGAAATAACAAGGGGAGAAAACCTTTCAACAGGCAGAAAGCCATCTTCTGAAAACTGCAAAGTTCTTTTTTTTTTTAATATTGTTTAAAGATTTTGAGTGCTTGTCTAATAGTTGAATCACTCTCTAAGACTCCTGGGAAACGTACTGGACCCAGTCTACAATACTAACAAGCATTCACAGCCTTCCAGATTTTTTCTAGCTATAGTTATGTATTGTCTCTAATTAGTATTTCAGTTGGAGTCCAGAGAGTTTTATTTTGTTTTGGATTCCTCCCCCATTTGTCACCAACTGTTTTGTTGCTTTTTCCATTTCTCAGTCAATATCAGAGAGAGTTATTACTCTTTCCTTCATTCTGTGAAAATATCTTGGTCCAAAGCTAACTGAGCTCTGCTGAGCCAAACAGTTGCCTAATGCAACTCTGTAGAAGCTGGTATCAGACCCTTTGACCCATATTCTCCAGATTTACTTCAAGAACTAGGAGAGTCCTTGGGTTTCCTTAGCATTGCTCCTTTTGGTCATTAATTACTTTGGATCCAAATGCTTGCAAATGAGATTACCTATATGTTCCCTCTCCGGAGGCTTCTGCAGGGAAATCGTGCTTTTGCAGAAGGTCTCCTTAGCATGGTTTGTTCCATCAGCTGGTTATGAAGCTTGTTTCAGGGCTATTAAAATAAGTATGCACATTAGGAACAAATGTTTCTTTCATATTGATGATACGCACATGCATCACAGAAGTTTGATGGGGTTGAGAGCTGAGCAAGCGCTACCTGGGGTATTGAGCTCCCAAGGGGCAGGCTGTGATCATGAGTGCATTTGCTGAGGTTTTCAGCACAGCAAGCCAGCAGTGGAAAGGATGAGTGCTGATGCTTAAATCATCATTTGCAAGTCTCAGTTAACATCCTTTAAAAAAAAAAAAGGAAAGGAAG